AAGCTTTTCATTATTTCTGAAAATTTTAAGTATTCACTGAATGGCACCCATGATGAAAGGCCAACCTCCGGTGTTCACCATGCATCAGACTCGGCACAGGTTCAAAAGCAAGCGTAGATCACCGGAGTAGCGGTGTCTACTTCAGTAATTTCCAGCTTCCAGGGGTATGAGCCAGGCATGGTATATACACAGTTACATTGGTTTAAGCTGAACCAAATGTAACTATGTAAAATTACCCAAACCTGTTCATCTTTAGGCATATGCTGTGGGTAAAGCCGGCTATAGAAGGATCAGCCAAAACAAACAAACAAACAAAAAAAAAAGGGGGAGAAAAAAAGAACAGATTTCCCATCCACACATCCAAAGTGGATGAAGGAATCCTCCCGACTGCGCTATTGTTTTCTGACAGGGAAGCTCCTCTGCTGTCAGAATATACTATTCAAATGAAAAATTTCCAATCCTCCTACAATCATTAGATTGACTTCCATCTAGTGAGAATGGCCATAGATGGATCAAAATTAGGCCGGTCCCTGCTGAATTTTGATCCATCTGTGGCCAGCTTAAGATCTATATGGTTTCTCTAACTACACCTGACTTCCTATGTGAGCAGGAAAGCAGTGACATCACTTCCTGTGAGACTTCTCTTCATCAGGTTCTCATTAACTTCACTTTCTATGTGTGTAGGATATCAGTCACTTCACCATCATATTTTCAATATTTTTATTTCCTGTGTGTGCACAGGAAATCGGTGACTTCACTATCAGGTTATCAGTAACTTCACTTCCTATGTGGGCAGGATGTTAGTGACTTCACTATCACATTGTCAATAACTTCACTTCTTAGATGTGCAGGATACTTGTAACATCACTACCTGTGTGACTTCACGATCACGTTGTCAATAACTTCACTTCCTGTGGGTGCAGGAAATCAGTAACTTCCCGTTCTATGTAACTTCACTATCAGGTTGTCAGTAACTTTACTTACTGTGAGTGCTGGAAATCAGTGACTTCACTTCCTGTGAGACTTCAATATCACATTATCAATAACTTTACTTCATGTGTGTGCAGGAAATCAGTGACTTCAATTCCTGTGTGTGCCGGTCATCACCGATTTCACTTACTGTGTGCGCAGGACATTAGTGCCTTCACTTTCCCTGTGTGAAGAATATCAATGACTTCACTTCCTGTGTGACTTCACTATCAGGTTATCAGTAACTTCACTTCCTGTGTGTGCAGAAAAGCAGTGACTTCACGATCACATGGTCAATAACTTCACTTCCTGTGTGCAGGATACTAGTGACTTCACTTCCTGTGTATGCAGGAATGCAGTGACTTCACTTTCTGTGTGACTTCACTATCACATTGTCAATAACTTTACTTTGTGTGTGCACAAAATTAGTTACTTAATTTCCTATGTGTGCAGGACATCAGCAATTTCGCTTCCTGTGTCTGCAGGACATCAGCACCTTCACTTTCCCTGTGTGTAGAATATCAACAACTTCACTCCCTGTGTCAGATTGTCAGATTACTGACAACGGTTATCAGTAACTTCACTTCCTATGTGTGAGGGATATCCTTGACTTCACTTCCTGTGTGACTTCATCATCACATTGTCAATAACTTTACTTCCTGTGTATACAGGAAATGTGACTTCACTTCCTGTGAATTCAGGAAATCAGTGACTTCACTTCCTGTGTGACTTCACTATCACGTGGTCAATAACTTCACTTCCTGTGTGCATGATACTAGTGACTTCACTTCCTGTGTATGCAGGAATGCAGTGACTTCACTTCCTGTGTGACTTCACCATCACATGGTCAATAACTTAACTTCCTGTGTGTGCAGGATACTAGTGACTTCACTTCCTGTGTGCAGGAATTCAGTGACTTTACTTTCTGTGTGTGTAGAAAATCAACAATGTCACTTTACTGTCTGTGTAGAAAACTTTGCTGCAAAAATGAAAATACTATTTGTTATTAATTTGTGCTGCCAATACCAATATTCACCAGTTACAAAACAGTGGTATTTTCATTGTTGTATTGTAAACTCTGAAGCCTTGATAGACAGCTGTACAAGAACTACACAGAATCAGAAGCTGCCAATGCTGCTTTGAGCCTTAACCTCTTGCCGTCCGCCTGCTGTTTATAAACGGCAGGGCGGTGGCAGTCCAAGGTCGGGTTGCCGTTCCTAAACGGCACCCGCCTTTTCTAGCTGTGCGCGCTCCCTAGGAGCGCGCACCACCGCGATCCGGTGTCCGCTGTGTCCTCCGGACACAGTGAAACACCGATCGTCGGACGGGACCTCTGTACGAGGTCCCGGTCATGTGATCACTGATTGGCGAATCAGTGATCACATGCAAAGTAGTAAACAAGATGTCACTTGTGACATCATTGCTTACTACGTGTGAAATCTGTGAATGATCACAGAGGTCACATGGTACAAGGCTATTCACAACAGCCTTGTACCATGTGACAAGCTGTGACCAATCACAGCTCACTCAGTATTTCTCAATGACTGCAAGAATGCAGACAGAGAGAAAGAGAAATGATTGCTTTTACATCCTATATGGGTGTAAAAGCAATCAGTGTAAAAAAAAAAAAAAAAAAAAAAAAAATCTTCATCACCCCCCACAAGTAGTACAGTGTCACCATGGTGACACTGTACTGCTAGGGTGGCAGTATGTAAAAATAAAAAATAAAAATAAAAAATAATATAAAAAAAAAATAAAATAAAAATGTAAAAAAAAATGTTTAAAAATTATAATGTTTGGTTATAAACTAATTTTGATTTTTTTTTTTTTTACTAAAAAAATAACGGAATAAATTTTGGCCAAGATTTAGGATGAAATATTATTTATTTGCAAAATTTTATTAAAAAAAAACACTTTTTTTTCAAAATTTTTGGACTTTTTCATTTACATAGTAAAAAAAAATAAAAATCCCAGCGGTGAATAAATACCACCAAAATAAAGCTTTATCTGTCTCAAAAAAAATGGTAAAAAATTCATATGGGTACAGTATTGCATGACCGCGCAATTGTCATTCAAAGTGTGATAGCGCTGAAAGCTGAAAATTGCCCTGGACAGGAAGGGGGTAAAAGTGTCCGGACAGGAAGTGGTTAATAATGCCAATAATTAAACCTCGTTCATACAGGGCGTACTTAAGCATACATCCTTGCAAGGGGCCATGTACAGGCACAGCCACTGCTCTCAAACGACATGAATAGGACTACCTGCACGCAGATGTATGAAAGACCTGTGCATCCCACGTGGACAAACACAGCCCTTCACACGGATGTACGCTTGAGTACGCCCATGTGGATGAGACCTTATTCAACATGGATGCAGCAGAGCAAAGTTTGTATTGCACAGGTTTGGCAAATATATGTTGTTTTGTCATATTAGCCAATTGCTGCATGTCAAATAGTCCCTTTGGTTTTTAGGGGACTCTTGTAAAAATAATCCAATGAAGTTAACCTGCAGTCTGATTAAAAAAAAAAAAAAAAAAAAGTTCTGCTTCTGTATCATCTAATATTTTAATCCCTCTTATGTCCTTTGCTGTCAGTCAGCATAATTCAGAAGAGGTGGAAGCATATACAAATGCAAACTACATGATGGTGTTGTATTTGTATCTTTAGGTATCTGTGTCGTATCTGTGGAAAAAAAAAAAAAAAAAAAAACAGAACACCCTGAAATGCATCCTGTTAGTCAGAAAATGTCAGCTTCCATCTTCTGAGATAAGTGATCCCCTTTAATGCTTGTGATTTCACGCTTGTGATCCTGACAGTCATAAGAGGATTTTCTGCTCAGCACTAAACTACATTGGTGATTTAATCTCATGCTACTGAGCGATTTAACCACTTGTTTACAATGAGCTCAACCTTTGCAGTACAAGGATTTCATGTCATCAAGCAGGTAAATTGCCCAGTTGTTGTTTTGCTCAAAGGGCTATATTAAGTTAGCAGTTTGGTGACATACTGTAGATTTGCTCATTTCATCTGGAAATCTGTAGAAGGCTGCATAACCTCTGCTGTAATCGATTACATACTTGTCTATGCAGCTAAAAATTATTTGTGTACCAAGTTCACTAGAAGCTGCATTGGGTAACATGAGTAGCTACTGAAGTTGGCTATTCTGCAGCTAAGGGCTTGCACACAACATAACATGCCAAGGTGTTAACTACTGAGCATGATAACACACTATAAATATGCAACAAAACACCAAGAAGAGCAATTCTATAGCTGCTACAGAATTGCTTGTGTGCCGAGACATGATAAAACTGGTGGGGGGGTTCAATATCTGCCTGTCTCGCTGCTTCTTGGCAGGAAAGGGATTAACTTCTTAAATCATCAATGGCTCCAAACAGTTGGAAGTGGAGGCAGCATTCTGATCACATGATCACTTTGACTGGCTATCACAGTGGTCACATGACCAGAAGCACAAACCACTGGCTCCCGAATATGCACATTTTTTCCTGCAATGCATTTTGGGTGCACCTATTTTTTCTGAACTCCAACACACATATACACACCAAACATACATGACCCTCAAGCACTGCAACAATCACACACACACACACACACACACACACACACACACACACACACTAGACATCAATGCAGCACTGTGAAGCACTGAATAAAAAATAGTTAATGTGTATACAAATGGATCGACACATGTACTTTAATAGATTGCTGACACAGGAAGTAATCTGGGTGCATAGATGTGAATGGGTCCTAAAGGGTCAGTGCACAAAAAAAAATAAAAGTTATATATATAATTTTTTTTTTCCCCCTTTACAAATTATGGCAGACACTGGTCAACGCTCAATGACAGAGGTAAGATCTCCACAGAAAAAATCCTTGCCTACTTGTTTACCCCTGCAAAATGGATGTTCATTGGGAAGTGTAAATCTTTTACCAAAAGAGTCCCAGTCAAAAATAAGAAAAAGATAAAATTTAGCACATGACCCTCTCGAAAACACTGAAATATCAGATTTGGGTGGACTGACCCTTTAATTCATTAAATAATAGACTTCTATTCAGCAATATTATTCTTATCAAGCAATGATGGATTACCTGGATAATGACTTGCAGGGGCTGCCTCTCCCCACTCTTGGTGTGGGTCACTCCCTCTGTGTCATAGAAAGCTGTGTAACAGACAACCTGCGGGTCTCTGGATTTCTCCTCCAGCGGAATGACGGTTCCACCCAAGTTCATGGTCCTGAAACAGATATCATTGTACAGATCAATAAACAGCTACAGAGATTAAAATGCCTTAATCGTGAGCCATAGAGACATTTGATCTATAATGATTAAAGGGCTGTGCTGGTGTCCTTGTTCGCGGACCTTTTTTGCACCAAGAAAAAGAGATCTGCATTCTGCAAGGAAGTGGATTTTTTGCCTCACTGTATTGCAATCGAAACAGATAAAAAAAATGTACCGGAATATTGATCCCTTTTTAAATAGTGAATAGATAACATTTCATAGGAATACTTTCCCTACTAAGTATTCTGCCAATTCTCTTGTCATGATTCAGAAATTGGTCTCAGCTGGGGGTTTCAGTAACCTTGAATGACTGGGCACTTTACCCTTTTAGTCTTGAATAGTCAGGATCAGGGTTTCTCAACCAGAGTTCCATGGAACCCTAGTGTTTCTCCAGAGCTTGCTGGAGGTTCCTTGAGCAATGAGAAATTTCTGCCTCTCAGATAAGTTTCCATTGACAACACTTATCCATTTAGACATCAAGTAAAGGGGGAATTTGCCCCCATGACCACAAGGGTAAGGAGCATTCTTCCCACCGAGTAGGAATTGTGGATATAGTCATTTTTAGCAGGAGTTCCCTGAGACTGGAAAGTTATTTTAAGGGTTCCTCTGTGTTGAAAAGTTTGAGAAAGGCTGATCCGGATAATGAAAAAAACTGAATGGGCACTCACGGCTAGTTACATTTTATCTGCCCATTCATGCCCCACGTCACTATTCTGACAGAGTGATGATATTATTATTATTCTTCAGGATTTATTTAGTGCCAACAGTTTGCTCAGCGCTTTACAATATAAAAAGGGAGACAATACAGCAATGATACACATCAATACAAGAGGGTTAGGAGGGCCCTTGGAGCTCACAATCTAGGAGGGAGGGGCTGGTGGTACAAAAGGTAATAACTGTGGTTGATAAACTGATAGGAGGAATAAGAGATTCCGTTATTAGCTGAAGGCGGGATAGGCTTCCCTGAAGAGATAGGTTTTCAGATATCGCATAAAAGTGGGCAGAGTAGGCAATAGTCGGATAGATTGGGGTAGAGAGTTCCAGAGGATGAGAGAGGTTCTGGAGAAGTCCTGGAGACAAGCATGGGAGGAGGAAAACAAGGGAGCAGGAGGTCGTGGGAGGAGCGGAGAGGATGGTTTGGGTGATATTTGGAGACAAGATTGGTAATGTAATTTGGGGTTGAGTTATAAATGGTTTTATATGCTATTGTTAATGTTTTGAATTTTATTCGTTGGGCAATGGGAAGCCAGTGTAGGGATTGGCAGAGAGGGATGGCAGATATGGAATGGTTAGTAAGGTGGATGAGTCTGGCAGCAGCATTCATGAAAGACTGCAGAGGGGATAGCCTACAATTAGGTAGGCCAATGAGGAGGGAGTTACACTAGTCAAGGCGAGAGATAACAAAGGAGTGAATAAGTTGGTTCGTGGTTTCAGAGGTTAAGAACGGGCATATCTTGGAGATGTTGCGGAGGTGAAGTCTACAAGATTTGGACAGTGATTGGATTTGGGGCTGAAAGGACAGATGGAGTCTAGGATTACATCTAGTACCCTGGCATGAGGGGAGGGACTGATGGTTGTATTATGGATCTTGATAGAGAAGGGGAGGGGGCATGTGCTGGAGGGAATAGTATGAGCTCTGTTTTGGAAAGCTTTAGTTTGAGGAAGTGGAGTGACATCCATGCTGATATGTCACTTAGTAGGTTAGTAACGTGAGAGGAGACTGAAGGGATGAGATGAGGAGTAGAAAGATAGATTTGTGTGTCATCAGCATAGAGATGATACTTAAAGCCATGGGAGTTTATCAAGTGACCAAGGGAGGAGGTGTAAATGGAGAAGAGAAGGAGTCCAAGGACAAAACCTTGAGGGACCCCTACAGAAAGAGGAAGTGGAGAGGAGGACACAGAGTTATAGGTAACACTGAAGGAGCGCTGTGATAGGTAGGAGGAAAACCAGGGGAGAGAGCAGAGTCTTGGAGGCCAAGAGAGTGGAGTTTTTTGAGGAGGAGGGGATGGTCAACAGTATCAAAAGCCACAGAGAGGTTAAGTAGTAAGAGTATGGAGTCGTGGACATTGGTTTTAGCAGTTAGTAAATCATTAGTGAGTTTTAGTAGGGCAGTTTCAGGGGAGTGCAGTGAGCGAAAGCCAGACTGTAAAGGGTCAAAAAGGTTATTGTCAGTGAGGTAGGAGCTCAGGCAATTGTAGTCAAAGCATTCTAAGAGTTAATGGAGCAGGGAGATGGGTCTTAGGTTGTTCGGGTTGGTGGGGTCCAAGGAGGGGTTTTTTTTTTTAAGTAGGAGAGTGATCTGTGCATGCTTTAGAGGGGAGGGGAAGGCACCATTAGAGAGGGAGAGACTGAAGAAGTGAGTGATGGAGCATAGGACAGAAGAAGAGGGTTATCATAGTAGTTGAGAGGGGACAGGATCCAGGGGGCAGGCTTCTGAGAAAACTTTAGTGACGTCTTCAGTAGTAGCAAAGTCAAAAGAGGAAAGTGTTGAGGGAGGTTTAGTATAAGGTATGCTAAGTGGGATAGATGTCTGTGTAGAGGAGATGCCCCTACGAATTGCATCAATCTTGTTTTTTTTAAATGATCTGCAATCTCGTAAGTAGAGTGAGTTATTGGTGGAGGTGGAGAAAGTAGAGAGTTAAAAGTAGAGAAGAGACAAGGACTGGATGACAGGGTATTAATAAGTGACAAAGTAGGCTTGTTTGGCAGCATGGAGGGAGGAATTGTATGTTTAGAAAGCAGATTAATATAGGGCGAAAGCTTGGTGTGATTTGGTTTTACGCCACAATCGCTCCAGTGCACGACTATGTCGCTTAAGATTTCTGGTGTCATCAGTCTGCCACAGTTGTAATGGTCGGGACCTGATACTTCATGTAGTTAGGAGGAGCAAGTGAGTCTAGTGTGGATGAAAGCGAACTGTTATAGACAGCAGTGGCCAGGGCAGGGCAGGACATGTCAGAGTTTCTGTAATAGAGGCGGTCAGTTGTAAAGTGGAAAAGAGAAGGGTTTAAGTTGTGAAGGTTTCTGCGGGTAATTGTTTGCTGCTTGGAGGGATAAGTGTTTGAAGAGGAGGACACTGTAAAGATGATGAGATTGTGATCTGAGAGAGGAAAGGGGGTGTTTGTGAAGTTGTAGGGAGTGCAAAGATGGGAGAAAACAAGGTCTAATGTATTCCCATCAGAGTGAGTGGAGGACTGTAACCATTGTGTTAAGGCAAAAGATGGTTAGGTTGAAGAGTTGGGATTTGGCTGTGTTATTCACATTAATGGGGAAATTAAAAACTCCAAGAAAGATATTGGGTATTTCAGAGGGGAGAAAGTAGGGTAGCCAAGCAGAAAAGTCATCAAGAAATCGTGACACCGGTCCAGGAGGCCGGTAGATCACTGCAATCCTCAGGGAAATGGGAGAAAACAGGCGAATGCAGTAAGTCTCGAAAGAAGAGAAGGATAGAGAGGGAGAGTAAGGGAGAACTTGAAAGGTGCTCAGTGGGGATAGAAGCAAACCACCTCCCCCTCCTTTCCGACCACTGGGTCTGGGTGAGTGGGTCCAGAGAAGGCCTCCAAAGGAAAGTGCTGTAGGAGAAGCAGAATCTGATGCTTGAAGCCAGGTTTCTGTAATTGCTAGTAGGTTAAGGGAGTGGGAGACAAAAAAGTCATTGACAGAGGTGAGCTTATTACAGACAGAGCAGGCATTCCAGAGTGCACATGAAAAAGGGAGGGTGGTTTTTGGGAGCATGGAGTTTGAGATTAAATTAAGTGGATTGCGGCTATTCCCAGAGAAAGGAGGGTGCTTGGTGTTGGGGTGAGATACTGGAAGACCAAGGTTCCGGGAGATATCCCCAGAGGTTAGGAGAAGGAGGGTGAGGAAAGTAAGATGGGAGTGGCATGTATATGAGAGCACATGCCTTCCTGTCCTGGGGTTTGGGTCAGCAGGTGAGTAAAGTATTAGCCAGGTCCAGGGCAAGGACACTGTGACAGACAAGCAAAGCCTGCCAGGAAATGTAGTCTGCTAGTGACCTATGTAACGAGGCCATGACTCAGGAATGATGACAGTCAAAGAGCAACTTTGGAAGTGGACGTTTCCAAGGGCTATGTTTTTATTCTGGAGTTCAGCTTTGAAAAGGATTAGTACATCATTGACTGGCTATTCGGTGTTGTGGGGACTCTTCAAGTGTTGACCACTTACCAGTTTGGCTAAAGTCTCTGGGACTTCAATGAGGTACACAATCCAAACATAAGTAGCTGGAACTGTTAAGTAAATCTACAGTATTTAAAGCAAGTACAGCGTAAAAACCATATCACTGCCAATCCTAGCCAATATTGTAAGATTCAATGGGGTAATAACACCCCCCAATCCCCAGTAAGAGACTGATCCAAGGTGAAGCTTACAACATTTCTGTAATGACATAAACATATTTAGGTGTTGCTGCCAATAGTATTGCCGTTCTCTAAAATGGAGAGCAGCAGGGGCAAGGACAAAGTTTCTACTCTGGCCATCCCACCTATCTCCTGACTGAAGGATACGGAGTTGGTTTTCAACGCCATACTTTGGCATACCATCTGGACCTTTAGAAATAATACAGAATATAGAACAGAATTTGAGTTTAAAAATCATAGGCTGGTAATTACTGGCACATTTGTTCAGTAATTAGAGTGTAACTGTACTGTTTTTGAGGAATATATGATGTGAACAGATGGATTTGGAAGTTTATCTGTCTTTACTCAGCCCCCCAATCACACTCTAATCTGGCTTCTATGATTTGTATTAAAGCTAACAAGGCATAAAATCTTCATTCGCAGTGTGCTGAATGTAGACTAAGATGGGGTGTGATTGCTCTCCATAGGGATGAATGGTAACAGCATTGATTAGCTATTAAAACCAACAAATGTTTCAAGTGTGTGCAAATTTAACAATGGTTGTAATTATAGGTATGACAAAATTTTACCGAGAGCT